AGAGCTGAGTTACCAGCTCTGTCAGATGAAAAGCCAGAGAGTGCCTTGCGGAAGCAGGGGGATAACCAAGGAGGCAAGTCTCTCACAGGGCAACTTCAAGCGTTAGGGTCACTCCCCCAAGAGTGGCGTCCCCGCCAAACCTCAGCAAGAAAGGAGAAGGAAGAGAGAGCAGTGAGCCTTCCGCAGGAGCTTGACTAGGAGAACAATCTGAAGAGGGCTTTCCAGAGGAAAGAGAAGGCCCACAGGGAGCCGCCCACATGAAACAAAAGCAAGATGAAAATAAATGGTGAGGCATCCATGCTGCCATACTGTAGGAGACCAGGAAACAAAGAATGAGCCACTGAATGACTGCATGAGAAGAAAAATCTGCAAAGAAATATAACCGAGTAAAGAAAAGAGAACTCTCCAATACTGTGTAGAAGAAGCTAATGAGAAATTGATTTCAATAAAACAAGAGCTGAAAACTAGAATAAAATGAAAGGTAAACTGCAGAGCCATGAAAATAAATAGAGGAAAAGAAAACACTATACTACCATTGCAGAACAGATTAGAGGGAAACAGAATAGATAATGTAGAAAAATGAGTTAACAACACACAGGAAAATCTCAGATCTCTATGAGAAATGGAGAGGAATAGACGTTATTGCATACAGACAGAAGCCAAAATGAGAGAAAAGATGGGAAATTCACTTTGCATATATAAATACACCGTGTGTGATGGCAGGAAATGAATTTTCAGAAAGTAAATATTATAATTTGTGTCGATCATTTTTCAGTCAAAATTGGAGGGGAAAGACAAGATCACATGCAAATTAATTTTCACAGCCTTTACAACAGTTTTCAGTTGGCCCTCAGTAGCAGCCCTGGGGGTCTGTTCTGAATTGGTAAATATTAAAACATATCATGTAAAATTACATAAAGAAATGCAGAAGGACCTAAAAGGATAACATAGTAAGCTAGGGTTTGACGTGAGAAGTGAAACATGAAGAGACTGTCATGTTGATAAGTCATGAAATACATGTTCACTTCTATTATGGAAAATTATATAGGTAATCATTTAGACACATAAAGATAATAAATCTCCCATTTAAACAAAAGGAAGACATATGCACCAAAAGGAGGAAAAGGGAAGAAAACTACAAATAGAATTCAAAAGTAGTATTAATTACACAGATTTCTAAAAATATATTAAAACCAAATGTATTAGCCATTTAAAATGCAAGCACATATCCCAGATACACCTGAGTGTCTTAAAAAATAAAAATAAAATTGTGAATGGGCTCTGTGCTCATTGTCTAAGCGCCCTGAGCAACAAGGTATCAAGAGCATCTTCTGTTGTGTTTTGTCACTGACCTCGCTCCTGGCACGCACAGAGCTCCTAATCCTTGTTTCTTTGCTCTGCTGAGTCAGGTCCCTGGGGATTCCAGGTGGGGTCTCCAGCAAGATGCAGCTAGGATGAGAAGCCCCCATCCTCCAAGAAGGGGAGGGGAGTCGGAAGCCGAGTTAATTATCAACCACACCTACATACTGAACGCCCCCTAAAATACCCGAGGGTCAGATGCTGGGATCTTGCGTGTCACTGAACATGCAGAGGTGCTGGGAGGGCACGGGAACTCCACGCACACACCGGACCCCGTGCCTCCCCTCTGCATCACTTTCATTTGTCCACTCCTAAGTTGGATCCTTGATAATGAACAGGTGCTCCCCACTTCATGGCCTACCTGTTGAACGACTGTTCAGACTTACAAACTGCCACTCCCACTTGCGACCTGTGTTTTTCTGTACAATTCTGCACATCCTGTCTAAAGAGCCTCAATGCTTTTTTTGTACAGTGCACCTTGTTTATCCAGTACTGTAAATTTGCTGATTGTACTGTATAGTACAGTGCTGTAGCTTTATGTTGTTATTCATTATAGTACTGCATCTAATCATTCTGCAAAGCAAAGCCATCACACTGAGATTCCTTGGACCGTTTCCTTGTTCTGAACACTGCAATGTACATACTGCATATTATTCCTCACTTAGCAATAAATTCATAATGACCTCATCGCAGGAACACAACGAGATCCTTAAACAAGTTATGTCTGTAATCCTAAAGAAAGTATTGAGTTTAGTGAACTGGTCTAGCAAACAAGAGAGTTGTGGATAGGTAGCCTGGGACCATCACTTAGTTATGTTTCATTTTAAAGTTCTTCATGGCACTGGGGATTAAACCCAGGAAACAATGAGATGTATCTCCAGAGCTTTTGATTTTTTTAAACTTTGAGGTAGGCTGACCCTAAACTAGTGTCCTGAGTAGCTGGGACTCCAGGAGATGCCACCACACCCAGACACCACTCAGCTAGGAAAGGGGACAGAAGGCTGTGTTGTAGGACTAAGCCTGTATCTCATGGAGCCTGCCCTAACTCTGGGCAGCTGGGGTCAGAAACGAGCTAAATTATCAGGATACACAATGATGTCAGAGTACTGGTTGGTGTGGACAAACCCTGCACACCTGAACCCAGAGCTGCTGTGTGAGGTACAGAAGAGACATAGCTTGTGTTCTCCATACAGCAGGTAGGGACATTCTAGGCATCTTCACAGGAAAGGAAACCTGTGGGACTGGTTTGAAAGCAGGATTCAAGATAAAGATTTAAAATAGAAACAAAATCTGGTATATACTGAATACATAGAGAAAATGGTAACAAAACCAAAAGGAAGGCAATGGTTTTGGGAACCCCTTCCCATGATTTTGAGGCCCCTTCCCCAACTCAAAATACCCCTATTAGAAAGGTAAACCTACACAAAAAGGAAATAAACAATAAATAGAAAATGAGCTAGCAGTGAGGTGAGTAACACTCTTACACCTAGACCTAGAGAGGATTAAGAACAGAGTGTGTGAGAAAGAAGGAACACAAGTTAAATCCTGTAAGAAATTATGAAAGGCTACTTCCTGAGGCTTGCATCTCTAGAGCTTCTGGTGAGATTTCTGGCCTGTCTGTTCTCCAGGTAGCCGTGGTCTCAGTGAGTGGTGTGACCAGCTGCAGCTCACACAGCTCTGCTGTCCCGCTTGGTTTGCCCCGCTGGGTCTCGAGGCCCTGCAGCCAGGTCAGAGAAGAGCGGCACCAGCTCCGCCTCTGTGGCTGGCACTGCCCTGCCTCCTGCTGTCATAGGAAAGGCTGGGTCAGTGCAGGGGCCAAGGAGACATTGTGGATAGATCCCCAGACTGATCAGTGTAAGGACGCAGTACTGGAAAAATCAATAAACACAGAAGGAAGGAGACATGCACATAATTAAAGTGAAAAAGTAAGTCACCACAAACAATGAAAAAGTGAAACATTTGTAATGAAAAATCGTGCAATGATGTTGGACAATTAATGCAATTAATCTTATATTACGAAGTAACTAAAATAAAATTGATCCCAGATGTGCTAGAGGACCTAGCCTGCTTCATAGGAGAAACCCAGAAATGTAACAGAGCTGACCTAACAGCTCCCGGATCCTCCTAAATCAGGGAGGAGATGATTTTAAAACCACCTCTTGGATACTAAAATATGAGAGTGCTCAAGTTCCTCATACAAAAAGGCACAGTATTTGCATACTACCTATGTACATACTCCAGTTTAAGATACTTTATTCATAATACCTAATATGATGTAAATGCTATGTAGCTGCTATATTGTATTTTTTAGGGAGCAATGACAAGAAAAAATTCCATGTATGTTCAGTACAGATGCAATTTTTTCTGAATATTTGTCATTTACAATTGGTTGAATCACAGATACACACAAAAGGAAGATGTAGAATGATTAATCTTAATTATGAATATCGAGAGCAAAGTCATGAGACCAAGCAGAAATCACCTCAGGAATATAATAATGATTTAGCCTTATGGATTCTATTAACATAATAAAACACTCTAGCAGAGCAGAGGGATAGTTTTTGATCATCTCCATGGATACTAAGACTCTGACAAAAAATCTCACATCCGTATTTTTCCCAGAGAATAGTAATAGTTTGAGAGAATACATAGATATTCTTTATTATGACAAGGAAAATACATGGCTTCATATAAGTAAAACTATGCGAGACAGTAAAAGATCTCATCAGTGTTAAGAACAAGACAAGTATGCCTTGTAAATTGTTATGAATAATATTTTCAAATGCAATAGAATAGAGAAATAAAGGGCACATTGAGAAGGGGTCAAGAGAAAAATCTTAAAAACAGTAAGAAATCAGTTTTGTTATTTGGTCATGACGTTAATATACAAAACCCAAAGACATTCCTCTACATACACTTAGAACAAAATGGAATAAATAAGTCAATTGAAAATGGTAGACAAAACATATGGAAATAAACAGGAAATTGATGGGAAGTGCTGAACACACCCAGAATTGTATAAGCACACCAGCCTAGACTGCAATGCTCCTCAACAGGAAGAGTCCATTAATCAGTGAATTCAATGGATGCTACTTTTTTAAAATCCACATAACAGAGAGAAAGAGAGATGCCAAAGAAGTTGAGGGCACTGTTGGCTTGAAAATACTGATATTGATATTAACAAACCAGGAGAAATTAAAGACATTTTGAGAGGGATAATCAATAGAACAGAATAGACCCAAATACTGAAAGAAATTTCGTTTACAAATAAAGAGGCATTTTGAACAAGTGGGGGAGATTATTATTTTATTACAGAAATGTATTATATGTTTCACTGGAGCTACTGACTACAGTGTGGAGGAACAAAACTGAACTTCTAATCCATTTCTTGCAATAAGTAAATCCCAGAAAGTCAGAATATATAAAAATAAACAAATGAAACCATAAAGCTTAGAAGAAAATATAAATAAGTTTATTTATAAATCTCAAAATGGGGAAGGCCTTTTTAGAAACTAGAAATAAGTGGCAGGATCTATAAAGAACAACATGGATAAATCAACAACATAAAATTTTAAACTTTCTGCATACCAATAAGCAAGTAAATCAATAAATAACATCAAGAGACAAATGGTAAACGAATAAAAATATTTTACGACATAGAAAAGTTTCAACATGCATAAACAAAGAAAAAGCCAAATAACCTAATTCAAAACTGTATAAAAGGTATAAACTTACGAAAATCGAAACTGCAAAAAAAAAAAAAAAAAAGAAAATATGTTCAATCTCACTCACATGAAGATGAACCAAAATCAGAGTAGTATTGCAGTATGTTTCAGACAGGGAAGAGAAATTAAATTTGAAAGTAATCAGCTCTACAAAGCAGAGCACCTGGCTCTTTTACAGTACTTTTGGAGGGGGTGTCACTGATCAGTTTCCAGGGGATGATGTGGCAATACTTATGAAATTCTTCAACGTATAACTTCACATCCAGCAATCCCATTTCTAAATTGGAATTTACCCCAAGCTGTCCCAAAAGTCTGCTAAGATAGACGCACAGGAATGTTACTTATAGATTTGTATAAAAAGTAAAAACCCGGAATCTCCGTATGTTCAACAACAGACTGATCAGATAAATTACAGTTCACTGAGGCAGTGGGACACTAAGAGGTCTCATGAGAAACGAGGTAGATCTTTTGACGTTATTATGGAAAACTCTTAAAGCAAAAGTGTGGGTGCAGAATGCTTTACACAGCATGGGTTCTGAACAAGCAATCGCTATCCATGTCCTCCTCAGCCCCTTCCCCTCCTCCTGAAAATGCCCCCACAAACATCAGTGGCCCCTGTGGGGAGTAAGAAAGGGGAGGCAGGGAGACTACTTTAACATTCACACTTTTCTAAGTGCACAGCTATTCCTCATTATTTTTATAAATCATATCGAAGTTGCTTGGATGGTCAAAGCATGAATGACTTTTATTTACCTTTTATGTTTTTCCATATAAAATACAAAACCAAAAAGGTTTTCTCTTTCTTAAAGCAAAATAGGTGGTAGGGATCAATTCGGGGCTAACAATAAGAAATGAAGCATTCTCTTTACATATCAAAACACTTCTATTTGTTTCTAAAGATACTTTAATAGAGAGAAAAGACCCCAGGGGATATTGTGTGTCACTTGATTGTACCATGTAGAATGGGTGGACTCTGAGAAGACCCTGCTCCACGTGGCTGGATGCCACCGTCTCCTGGTTTATCAACCTTCTTGTCGTAAACAATATCTGTGCTCCCGAGTCGCGCACACAGGCACCCGCGCACACGCATGCACACAGAGCGCACGTGAGCCTTCATCCTCCAGCACAAATGATTTCATGCACATTACCCAGAGAAGAGTGGAATGGTGGCTGGGAAACATGCGCAAGTTCTTTTGCTCTGAAAATCGGGACTTTCCCCACACTGCTCCCATCGCAGGGGTTAGAACAGACCGAGGAGCTCTTGGAGCTTAGAAGCCTCATGTAGCTCCTCAGTCTAAACGCTGAAGAGAATGGTGCACGATGCCCTGATCTCATTAAAAATGAGAAGGGAAGAAGCAAGATGGCTGTCACCAGCTGGATAAACTACGTGGAGAACACTGTCACCTATTAGATTTAAAAATTAAACATCTCCAATGCATCCCCCACTGGAACCCAAGTCAGCTTTATCAGCTGATTCTGGGGTGAAGTAGGTGGGAGCAGACAGATCCCCCAAAGCCACAAACTCTGATGCTCTGACAGTGCCTCCCTGCTGACTGCCACTGGTCCTGTGTCCGGAAAAGCCACCAGCTGTACCACCCCCATCCCAGTATCTGCCATGCAGGGACCAGAGATGTTCCAGCCCCTGCCCTATGGCCCTCCATGGAGAAAAGGCCAGGGAACATGTTCTCTTTAGGGTGTGCATTTGTATGAAGTACACATTTCTACAATGAATCAGCTCTAACACACGCAAAGCATCTGATACATGATTTTCAAAAATCACATGACTGGTTCAACTTCTGTTGTTCCTTGGACCTGGTAATTCTCATAGCTCTTGCTTTGTCCTCTGCAGAATAGAACAGATTTGCTTCATTCCTCCACGTCTGGGACAGCACAGGAAGCTTGGGAGCTCTCTGGGAATTACCGGGGACAGGTCCACACTACCTCACACAGACATAGGCAGCTGGGGCTGGTCCCCATTTAGAGTGGACCCAAGCCCGAATCCTTCTGATTCCCTCAATAGGTGCAGGTTTGCAGAATGACCAACTCTCATATAGAAAGGACAAAAAACTGTTTTCTCCACCTGTGCTTGATAGAGGGCAGAAAAAGTTGAATTGCAGAAAAACCAACAGGTGAGTTTTTAGTTTTAGTTCTTTTGCAGTTATTTTCCTTTTACAAGTCAGTTGTTGGAATGGATTTAGTGAGTGTGGTTTACTATTCGTTTCAATCTAGGTTTGTACACAGGCAAAAAGCACACGCTGCATTTCCACACGTGGACCTTACTGGCAAGTGGCGTGCAAGCATGCAGGATGAACGGTGCAGGCCTTTCCTGGAGGTCTGGAGCTGCAGAAACCGTCCTGCAGGCTATCCAGAGTGGACAAGTGGGCAAATGGCCATTTGGTGGCCCACTGACTGTAGGGATAGGCTGATGGTACGCATACGAAAGGGATGAAAGAGAACGGTGTGAAATCCTAGGACTGAAATAACAAGAAAACTATAACCATCAGGAGGGACCATGATGAAAGTGCCTCAGTTATCCCGTTCGTGGTGCTGCTGTGTCAGGACCCCAAATTCTCACCCACCCAGTGGCTCTGCCTCTCTATCTGCGTTACCTACATGAGCAGGCCAGGTGCCCTCAGGCAGAGTCTTTTGTTTTGGTACCAGGGATCAAGCTCGGGACCTTGTACTTGGGAGGCAGGCAATGAAACCACTGAGCTAAATCCCCAGCCTCAGGCGAAGTCTTTAGACACAGCCTCCACGAAGTTTGGAGCGGACATGAGGATGCCGATGGTACAGATGATGGTGAAGACGGAGAAGGCCATGAGGCATAAGCGGTCCACCACGCAGGCCGCGAACTTCCACTCGCTGCACACAGCCTCGCTCTCTTCCTGGCAGCGGAAGCGGTTGGCGATGTAGCGGACCTCCTCCAGGATCTTGGCCAGCTCTGGGTCCCCCTCGGGGTGCTGGCCGGCATGCAGCAAGTGCTCGTCATGTGCGGGGGAGCAGGCCAGGCGGCCGCACACCACCCCCGAGTCCGGGGTCGGGGCGCAGTGCATGCCCTCCAGGCCTCGGAAGCCGATGTACAGCAGGTTGCCATTGCTGGCAGGGGGCGCGGCCCCGGCACTCAGCTCCATGCTGCCCAGGCTGCAGCGACGCTGCTTGTGCTGGCAGGCGGGTCGTACCTTGTCCTCCCCTGGCCTCTTCATGCGCAGGAACCACGCGCACCAGTTCAGGAGGATGACTCTGGTCTGGGGAGACAACAGAAGGTTCAGACCGGTGGAACAGGCAGCAGTGGTTCCGGGGGTGACGGGCTCTATCGCCTCCCCCTATCTTAGCAAAGACAGGAAGTGCAACGTCCTCACAATGGCTGAGTCAACGGAAACAGAGCCCCACCCCGCATGGGCACCACCTGGGAACAAGCTGAAGCTCTCTCTGGGGCAGGAGGAAGACAGCTCTGTGGGACAAGGCTGAGGCAGGAATATTTATGAAGTTGCTTTAACTGATGATTTCTTTAGCTCCAGTAGCTCCATGAAAAGATCTCTGACACTAATGTGTTATGAACTCTGGCAGCCTCGGGCCTCTGACCTCACTCATCAGGGGCTGCAGCAAAGCCCAAAGAGCACGGTGTCCTGGAAAGTACTCTGCAAAGTCAGAAGCAGGACTTGGCAAACTTCCTGTAGAGGTTACCGCAGCGAATATTTTAGCTGGGCAGGTCACAAGGTCTCTTTTTTAAGGACTCAACTTGCCGATGTAGTATGCACAGAACACATGTAAGTGGCTGTTTTCTAATCACATTTAATTTACAAAAACAGTGGACTACATTTGGTCACCAGGGCCCCAGTTTCCCAACCTCCAGTCTAAAGTGTTTTATAAACTTTTATTATTGCCTCTCGGCGTTTTGGCTAAGATCAAGTATAGACCTATAGTGACTGCAAGCATGGAGAGGCTGGTGAAAAATCACCCTGTGGGTTTATATTAATTTTGCCTTCATGGAAAAAAAGAAGATAGCCCCAGTCTCAAATTAGGCAAAAAAAAAAAAAAAAAAAAAAAAGGAAGTTTTCTGCAAGTCTATCCACATAAATATGCGTGAAGTGAGACCTTTCCCTGAAATCATCCAATACTGATTTCACTTTCGTTTTGTTTTATGGTTATGACAAAATGTCATCAGCCACCTAGAAGGTGTATTTCCCACCTGTAGGGAGAGATAAGCTGTGAAATGCATGTCTGCAGGCCTTTCTTTCTTGGTAATGACTTTTATGAAATCTCATGAAAGATAATTGAAGCCAACAGGTCGGGGAGACAGAGTGAAATGAAGAAGGCAGACGGCTAAGACCAGGAGCGTCGAGCTGAAGACAGCCCTCGGTTTTGAAGGGTACTTTACCCTGCGGGCAGCTGTCCATCTAGAGGGGTTTCCAAAATCAGTAAAAACCAGTGCCACAAGGCCACAGCAAAACCTCATCCAGTGACTCCATCACTCGTGGGGCCATGCATGGCTCCGCGGAGTGAGAATAATTCCATTTTACAGACAAATAAACTGACCCCCAAAGAGGCTAAGAAACTGGCTGGAGGTGACACAATACACAAAGAGTAAAGCCACTGATGCACTTAGACTATTGCAGCCTCGTCTATTTCTCGGCTCCTTTCAAAAGTCCTATGACTGAGCCCTACACCCTCTCCAAAGACAACAGGATGCCTACTCCAGATTTTGGGGGACGCTGTAGGACAGGGAGGGAATCCAAAGCCAGAAGCGTCTGTGCAAACAAGGACTGACTGGGGCCGGGCACTCCCCTGGCCGTGGCGGGGTCTGCATGTGCCTGGGGTGCAGCTGCAGCTCGCACGGTCCACAGGGCCAAGTCCATTTTGAATTCTATGGCCTGAGTCATTAGCTTTCAAGGCCAAAGCATCTCCAGAGATGAAATTATCCCCTTGGCACTTATCAAACTGTGCTCGTGGCCTCTCCTGTCAGGTTACAGTTGTGTTTCTGGCTGTGCAAATGTCACATAATGCCACTGCACTTGACAGTATCTTCTTCAGAGCCACAGATCACAGTAAAAGTGCCTGTGAGGCTGTTTATGCTTCACATATACGTGGAATGCAAGAAAAATGCATGATGCTATATAAAATGAGGGAGATCTCTATCTCTGTATTTTATTTACAGGCAATTGATTCTAACAAGCTTTTATGCTGAGAAGTGAACCACACTAACATATGCTCTTAGTGAAGTGTTTTTAGAAGAGTCGAGGGCGACCAGCTCATTAAAAATGGTTTTTACATTTGTTTTAATTGTGCTATCTTCACATCAGTCAAAATACTTTAAATAAGTGTTTATGTATTCATATAAATAAACAATAGAAGGAAAAAGAAAGAATTCACCAGAACGGTTACTGATATTGGTGGTGGAAGCCAAGTGAGAGATAGGAATAGGACCCCGATTTCCTTAGGTATAGTGTTATCTTCCCCTTGGCCTTGGAAACAAATAAGTATATTATCTGTTTCAAAGACACAGATGGATAAAATCAGGAAAATAAACAAGGCACTGGCTCTCACACCTGGCCTGGCATTGCGCTTAAGTGTGTCAAAGTCAGAAAAGTCCCATAAGAATGTACATGAGTCGTGAAAATGTACCGTGGCATCAGGGACTACAGTGATGTCACCTGTGCACAGGGCATCACGGCACAGACTGAGCTTGCACCAGTGCTGGTGCCAGAGCTGTAGCGTGTAAGTGTTCTAGGGAAAAATCTGAGGAGAAACAGTACACGTGTAAGGCTGCTTTTAAAGTACCTCCTCAGTTAACTTTTGAGTAACTGTAAAATACTGCATAATGAATGTTTTTAGAAGGCCCAGAAGCCCTCTGTTCCTGAAGGGCATTTCGAGGCACCTCGCTCCTCCATCTGAATTGAGCACGTTGGTGATCCTTCCTGCACTTGGGTGGAATCTAATGGGTCCCCAAAGACAGGCACCCTTTGGGATGGGAGGGCTTTTCCATCCTGAGTCTACACACCCCGAACAGGAAGATTCAGGAGGTCTGCAAGGAGGCGAGGCAGCTCTGCTCTGCCTTGCTTTTGTCTGGGTGTCATAAGCAAAGCCCAGGATCTCGCTCAGTCTTTGAGATCGCCTGACTGTTAGTCAGGAGAGGACAGAGAGCCTGTGACACAGAGCTATGGGAGAAAATGCTCTCGTGGGTGAGCATCAGCAGACAGGGCCAGGCTGCCTTGGAAGGGAAGGCGTGGCTTCTGCTGAGACCCTGCATTTTCTCATCCATTTCCTTTCACCCCTTCTGCCTTCCCCATCGGTGACTATCCATCTTTGTGTCACGGGCTTTGGGTCAGATCGCATTCCTTCGCGTACTGAATGTATGCACACCTGGCCATCTGCACTCTGAGGCTGTGCATCTGTGGATTCAGCCCGCCATAGGCTGAAAAATATTCAGGGAAAATAAAGTGAATTTGTATGTAGTAACTACAGACACTTTTCTAATTACTCCCCAAACAACAGCCTGTAACAGCTATTTTACCCAGCACTTCCACTGTTTAGGTCCTCTAAGCTATCCAGGGCTATCTGGAGCACACGGGGGTGTGCACAGTCTCTGTGCCACTGCTGTGCCATCGTGTAGACAGGGCTCGGGCACCTGCAGACTCTGATATTTGCAGGGGGTCTTGGAAGCAGTGCCCTGCGGACCCCGAGGGACTGTGCTGTTTTTGTACGTCTCAGTCTGCTCCTTACCCTTTCTGCCCCTCACTCTGTTGTGAGGCTCCCACCCTGCCGTCACACATTCACTTTACCTCTCACTTCCCGCTACCACACAGTTCCCTCCAGTGCATGCAAAGGAATGGTTCAAAGACACACTGTGTTAGCAAAAAACACACAGCAGCTGGCGTGTGAGCCCCGCTCTGCAATGTCGGATTCAAACACTGCCGCGGCAGGAGAAGCAAGGAGCAAACGGTTTGGAGAACAGTGAAGTCCTAGGAAAATCCATACCGCTGGCTTCCGAGAGCCAGCTTTGGTGTGATTTTTAAACCAGGTAAACCATGTGGGACCTCCCCGAGGGCGGGTCTCTGACTCCATGGGTGGAACGTACCCACTTGGGCATCTTGCCCCCGTCGGGGTCGTGGTGGTGGTACTGCAGCACGATCACCGTCACCACCACCGAGAGGCCCACAATGATCATGGTGCTGGCAAAGTACTGGGCTGCAAAGAGAGCAGACGCGAGTGAGAGCAGGCTTTGGCGGCTCTGAACATTGCAGTGCTAGTGCGTCTAGACCTTGCTTGATCGTTGGGTCCTGGAGTGCGGTCATGTTGGGAAACAGGGCTGGACTGCCTCCTGCTGGCCAGGCCAGGCTTATGGTTCACCCCTCACACTCCTGGTGGAAAGCGGTGGCTCAGAGCCCAAGACCCGACTTCCTGCCACCAAGTGTGCGTGGCAATTCCTACGCTAAACTAAATAGCCACTGACAGAGCATTGCTTCCCATCCTATCAACTGGCTTGGAGGTCCGGGTTCCCTGATCAGGAAAGGAATGCCAGCTGCAACAGCACGAGTTCAAATCCTAACCACCCAACCCAGGCTCCTTGGAATGATCCTGTTTGTTCCCATCCAGGAAGGCACAGAGCAGTAACGGATGCTGTCTCCTATAATCCCTCCCCGGACTAAATGCTTTTTTCCTTTCATATTGCTCCAAACGTTTAAAAACACTTTAAAAAGGACACAAATAGCTAAAAGCTGAAGTGTGTGCTTCTCCCATTTTAACAAAACAAGGTCTCAGCTGAAATTTTTGATGGCTAAATCACAAAATCACAGACCGCAAAGCAAGTGTGAGTGAGAGAATCACGGGAGGAAGAGCAAGCTCTGTAATTGTTTGGCGGGTGGGGACGGGGTCTCACTATGTTTCCCTGGCTGGGTCTTGAGCTTCGAGGCCAATGTCGGCGAATCCTTTAGAGACAAGTCCTCAAGTTGCAATCCCAAACCCACGTATTTATCGCAACACGCACACAGCCATCAAACCTGAATAGCGCAGTTTTAGTTTAAAGAAAACAATGCATACATGAACATCTTCTGTCTTAAAACAAAAACAAGTAAACACGTATGCCATAGGTTCACCACCACTCTCCTAGGCACAGGCGCTCTCTCTCCCTGCCTCAGCCTCCTGAGGCCACAGGTAGACACAGGTAGGCACTGAGACCACAGGTAGACACCACAACTCCCAGACAGTCCCATAATTCAAAGCCCCACAGAGTTGGACATCTGCTTTCCCCTCCGTGAGCCCAGGCAGGGAGGGGACACGGGCCACCCTGAACAGTTAGGAAATGGAGGTCTCGGTGGAGCTCCCTGTGGCCCTGACATGTTATTGCTCCTGTGTCTGCAGGAAAATCTTAGCACTTGTTAACCGCACACCTTGGAGAAAGGGACGCGTCTCTGGCCTTACCGATCAGGGGTACGGAGTCAGATGTTGCAGGCATGATCTCAGCCACCAGCAGCATGAACACAGTAAGTGAGAGTAGGACTGTTATCCCTAGAACATAAACACACAGATGTTCCTTAGACAAAATGAAGGCCAGGGCCTAACTTCCACCTAACTGGGGCTCCTAACTTGAGTTTCAAAGACCTAGGGCGTCTTGGGGGAGGCCACGGGACACGGGATTTCTGATCAGGGGTACGTGCATTTATCTGGGGGATTCCTGGTCACTTAACAGAGTCCCAAAGAGGTATCTGGGGGAGACAGGTTTAGGAACCAGAGCTTCGGGAGAATTAGCACAGCACAGTGATCCCTCCAGTTCTTCAGCTCATTATTATGGAGCAGGAGTTTCACAGCGCAGGAAACAGAAGCCATGCAGTTGGAAGGCTTGGTCTCAGGCTTGAAGGAGGTACTTCCTGTCTGTATGACCTTGGGTGTGTCCTTTACCATTCGGAGTCCCATATTCAGAATAGGAAAGGTTTGGGAATAATTTCTATGATATACTAGATCTGGATCTATTTAGTAGATATCCACATAGTGAGACAACGATAAATCCATTTCGCTATTCAAAATCCTACTCTTGTCACTTTCATCTGTGAGCAGTATAGGGATTATGCTGTGTGCAGCAATACACGAAGGCGAACTGAGAGGAGCTAAAAGCTGCTCCCTGTGCACAGTGAAGGCTGAGAAAGGGCCCCCAGGAAGCGGCAAGGCAGCAGTGGGAGACAAAGCCTGGGCCCCTCCTAGGTGGCGCAGGTCTCTCCGCAGGAGCAGGACCCCAGAGCCCGCAGCACTCTCAGGTGACACCTGTGCAGCTCGCAGCCTGAACCAAGCACCTCTGGCAGCCCGCAGCTGCCTGGGCCGAGGTCAGTGTGTGACGAGCCAAGCAGGCAGGCTGGGTCTCAAGCGATCCAGAGACCCCGCGGAGCTGGTCTCAGGGAAGGGCCGTAGTCTCAGAGTCCTGCCAAGAGCCAGGCACTTACCCAGCGAGATTTTCTCCCCGGAGTCTGCAGGGAGCAAAAACACCAGCAGGGCCAGGGCCGAGATGAGCACACAGGGGATGAGCAGGTTGAGCCCATAGTACAGCGTCCTGCGGCGTACAGTCACCGTGTACGTGACGTCCGGGTACGGCTCTTTGCAGCACTCATAGAACTTCTCGCTCCTCTTGCCAGGGATCCCTGCATGGGTGGCAGGAGGAAGGAAGCATCTTCAGAGCACACTTTCTCTGTGGCTTCGGAGTATACGCCACACACAAGCCCGGCCCGGAGCTCACTCAGGTCTAAAGAGCTGGGTAATTCGACTTTGAACAAACCCTTGCTGGCTTGTTATGCAGTTTTGTTTTTTTTTAATGGTAGCTCAGTGATACTTGAGCAAACTGGCAAGACGTTCCTTTGACGGATGGGAAGTACACGATCATAAATAATGCCTCGTCAACTGTATGCTATTCTAAATGTGACTGCGGTCATGGGCTGCAAAACAATGTTTCTGCCAAAGATGAAACAAATAAATGATGTCAGGAGCTTAAGATGAAGCCACCCAGGGACTGCCTGGCTGTCTCAGTTGTTGTCAGTACACACTGTGGTGTTCACACATATTTTCAGAATGCATAGCTGACATTAAGTAAGCGACTTATGACTATATTGTCTTTCTGTTTGAAATAATGAAATATAGGTTTCCTGTTGATAAAAGGAGTCAAGATGGCTACAAAAGGGGAGAGGAAATCCTTTTCTGAGCCTCCAAGACTTGCACCCAGGGGGTAGATTGCCACTCAGACATCATGTGGGGAATGAAATCTGCTAGAAGGAGCAAGATTTTCAGAATCTAACGATTCCCTGAGAGGCTTAAGAAAAGCCAGAGTTCCGCTTGCCTCCTGACCCGGACATACAAATGGCTTCTGAAATTGATGACCAGCCCAATTTGCATCCATTTCCAACCACCAGACCACTTCAATCCTTCTTCTCTGCCCCAAATGCTAAGCCGCTTACCCGTTGCTCATCATGAAGCCCCAATCCCCCCACCCCCCGAGACAGCACAACCTCGGCACACAGCAGATCTGCAAATCTGCTACGGCCCAAACACGGCTGTTTTCACTTTATTTCAGCCTCGCCTGTGACTGTCTTGGTTCATGCCATCACCTGAACTGATGCCCAACCCTGTTTTCGCAGGGGTGTGGGTCAGAAGAACGCAGGGTCCCCTCCACCGGCACAGACTTGTTAAATGTACCCTTGCCGGGCCACAAGCTTCTCCCGCAAAGCAAAAGCATTAACATTTGCTAATTGCTTTGTGTTTCTCATCAGAAAACAGTAAATGATGTCCCCTCCACCGGCACAGACTTGTTAAATGTACCCTTGCCGGGCCACAAGCTTCTCCCGCAAAGCAAAAGCATTAACATTTGCTAATTGCTTTGTGTTTCTCATCAGAAAACAGTAAATGATGGGAAGTGGTGCCGAGTTCAGTAAATGCTCATGCTGATGAGGCAGTAGAAAAAAAAAAAAAAACAACCCTCAAACATTCTTAAGCTCAGGCAGGAAGCACAGCAGCCATGGTCCAGGGTGCAAGCTGGGTGCCTCTTCTGGACTCACCCACAAGGTCCCACTCTCCATTGGGGGTGTAGCTGCTGATATCGGCCTCCTGCATCTGGAGGTCCAAGGACCAGCCTCCGTAAGACCAGGACCCGAACTTCAGCTTGCACTGCTGCACATCAAAAGGGAACCAGCGCACGTCAATGTAGCAGGTGCTCTTGAAGATGCCTATGTGGGTGACAGAAACCATCCGTGACTGAAAGGGGAGCTGGCCGTGATGGGCTGAGAATCCACAGCAGCCTTCCCGACTCACCCCACCTCTTCAAACAGGGCTAACCCTGTCCAGAACAAGCTGCATCAAAAAATAAATAAATAACTTGTATTTGTAATTTTGCAATTTTTTTTTAAAGCAACACCCCTGAAGCCTCACTGTCTTTAGAAATTCAAATGCAAATACAGGTTGTGTTGAAGAAGACTTTTATTGGGGATTTCTACAAAAGAAGTCGCTCTATAAACTTCCCCCTGCCTTGAGCGGCTTCAGTGTCCAACTAACAAGAGAACAGTAGAGAACGTAAAAAATCTCAGAGAAGTTGATAAAAACGATGAAGTGGTTAAAAGACTGAAAGATGTGTGACTGGTGGAGGGGTACGCATTTTCTTTAGGTTAAAAATTGGGAAAATAGGGCCAGGGATTTAGCTCCATGGTTCCACCACCTGTCTTGGAAGCACAAGGTGCGGAGTTTGATTCCCGGTAGCAACACACACAAAAAAAAAAAAAATTAGGAAAACACCTGGTTACCCAGGAAATAGCTGCTGGAAGATAATATTCACTCATTCAGATTCTAGATCAAGAATAGTTATCAGAACCAAAGGGTTTAAGTTGAAGAAAGAGTGCCTGGATACAAAGGTAAGTTTCCACTGAAAAGAGCAACTCCAGGCCTAGGGGAGCTGGAAGTGAATTTCCATAAGGTCGCGGGGAGGAGACCAGGTAAGCTCTGTCCAACTTTTATGCCTGAGCCTTTCCCTGCTCCCAGGATCCTGGGCCATGCTGGGTGGCCTGGATGGTGCAAGTGTCCACACTAGTAGGGCAAGGCCAGCACTCTGTCAACTTCTGCTACTGAATTAAGGAACTTAATTTTAATTTGCTTTAAGTGACCTGGGGGCTTTGTAAACACAGACCCACCTCACAGCCGCCGACACACTCCTTGCTCACTCAAGGTCTGTTAAATATGATTTATGGCATTATTTCAAATGTCTGTAAAGATCTGGAGGTTATTCCATGCCCTCCCTTCCCATTAGGGGGCTGGATTCCCTCAGACCCATGTTATTTGTAAGATGGAAAACTATTTCTATGAAAACAAAAGCAGTCCGTGGCTGCTGGGGCTGGTGGTGGGACCAGGGGGCATTAACTGCAAGGGGCAAAAGGGATCTTGGTGAGCTGATGGGACTGCTCTAAAACTGGAGTGTGGTCACGGCTGCACAACTCTGTAAATTTACTAAAACTCGTTGACTCACGTGCTTAAAATGTATGATATGTAAATTCCACCTCCATAAAGCTGCTGAAAATAAACACACGAAATGGAGGGGGGGAATCATGTTTTAATCAAGTCTCTATTTCAAAACCTGCATCCTAGATATTCGTATCTTCCCTTGTCTACTAGCAGGGACGGAGCAGCCCAGGGCCAGCCCTCTGTGACCTCAAGCCCCGCAGCTCTGCACTGAGTCCCAGGTCTCAGCATGCCGTGTCCTGTCCTGCAGGGTCCCTGAGGCCCTTCACAGGGCTGGGGTCCCAGAGGTGTGCTGTACGCTGGGTGTGTGAGGGTCGGGAGCACTGCTCCCATAGCGCGGACGGCCTCAGCCTTCCCAACAGTGTGCAGCACAGGGAGGACCTTCTATCCTGGTGACTACTGGGGCTGTTTTCTAAAGTGGCCCTCCTAAAAGATGCTGCAAATCACAGGCTTGGTGTGAAAGAACACAGCTGTGGTGGAGGGCATTCCACAGCCCAATATGCAGAGCAAGGGCTGGGGCAGGGGACGGGGAGGGAGCAGATGGTCTCAAAGAGAAACCATGACACCTGGATTTCCTCCTTCTACACAGACAATACTGGGCATTATCAACCTCCATGGTTCCCTTCACCTGGGCCACACACGGCTGAAAACGACGTCTCAGATGCTGACTGAGGATGCTTGGCCTATGTTGACAGGAAGCGCGTGTTGTAAACAACCACCCAGAGGCAAAGCTAGCTCCACTGTGTGCCATGAGACCAGGGAGCCAGGGGCTGACTCCGGAGAGGAGCGTGTGCACGGTGGGTGTGAGTGTGCACAGGTGTGGGAGCTGGTGTGGTCTGCGTGCACGTGAGCAGGAGCTCGGTGGGCATGCAGGTATGTGACGTGGGTGGGTGCAGGGCTGAGTGGCTGGTGTGAGGGTACATGTGTGGGGTGTGACAGTGTGCAAGCCTATGTATTAGCAAGGGTGGTGAGGTGTAGGGGAGCAGGTGCAGATTTCTTGTGAGTAGGAAACAAAATAAACCAGACAGTGCAGTGGGGGAGGAAATCCTTGAAAATAACGTGTTTGAACAGTCTTCCAAAAGATTTAAAAAAAAATCCCAACCGTCAATATCCATGTGCAAAACACACCCTAACTATGCTTTTAGGGCACAGACGTGTTCCTTGAACTGCTCCATAAGCAGAAATGATGGCCTGGGGACACATCAGTCCAAGGACCCTCAGCATCAGGAGGTTGAGAAGGAGGGAAACCTTCCAGGAACCAGTCACTAACAAGCTCCTCTCTGGAATCTCTGCCCCTGCGTCTGACTCGGACTGCTACTGAATGCATGAACTTCCAAAGGTGGTCCCAGACCTCCCACCATCTCCCACTACACCTGGAGCCTTCGCCAAGGCTAAATGGCATAGTCATGTAGGGGAGAAAGAGCCTGGTTAGCAGGCTGTGGGCAGAAATGGAGAGGAAAGGGCTGTCTGGCTTGTGAACTGGAAAGAGGGTTGTAAACTGCCCAATAAGGGAGGCTCGCTTTCATTGTAGACTACTTTTCAGGGAAAGGACATAGGGATGTGTTGGCAAACACGGTCTGAGCCATGACTCCGAGACAAGAGAAAGACGGTGCCCGTGAGTGCAGGAGGCTCAGGAAGGTGCCCGGGAGAGAGGTGGGCTGCACACAGCACAGGTGGGCGACATCAGCGGGGACTCATACTTCCTCCATGTCTCTACCTGGAAGGAGACACAGGAAATGGGTCTCACCTGGAGGGAGGTACTGGCAATGCCCAGAAGAATTCACCAGGACATTGGTGTGGAACGTGGCATCAAACCGCTCATCTGCACTAGAAACAGGAGGAGTTTGTGAGTCAGGGTTAAAAGGCCGTTATCTCTCAGATCTATTGTGGCCGTGGCGACTTTGCAGGGCCACCCTGTGAGCCCCATGGGCTGGGATTCTGGACCCAGTCTCCTGAATGGGACACAGCATATGACTGGCAGTCACCACAGCGTTCTCGGTGATTAACACTGCAGGAGCAGGACAGGGCAGAGCATAAGGACCAACCCAAGAGGGTCACAGTTAGTGAGCACCGGGAGGGGGTGAGGACAGGAAGTTAACTGCAAGTTTTAAAGGAACACATCCTGACCCCTAAGTTCAAACCTTCAGCAGCCGGGAGTTACAACTTGGATAAAGCAAACACAAAATTAAAAAGCACAGCTCATGTTAACCGTGTCTTTAGTTTCTATATCCTGATACTTTGAGGCCTGAAGGGACTGCCCCTGAGGATGAGTTGGCTCCTTCAGCAGCTCCTTCACATGCAGTCAGCCTAGAGCCCTTGCCCCAGCACCTGCTCTGGGGTTCCACCCCCTGGAGTCCCCATCCACAGGCCCTAATGGCCCAGGAGCAGCCTGCACACGCCAGAGCCCACTGGGGTCGTTCACACAGACGGGTCAGCAGCCTGCTGGCTGCCTGCCTGGCCAGTTCCTTCCCGGGAACCAAACAAAGGCTCCAGCCCACACTCTCCCTCCTCGCCTCCATGTCAAGAACCATCCAAGCTCCCTTTTGCCCCTGCATGGTGTCCTCCCCACGTTTGCATTAAAACAAATTCCAGGTACCCTTAAAATGCAGCCACACGTGTCCATAAACATAAACCCCACCTGTTCCAGGTGCTCACTCTGGGAGTGAAGTCCCTCTCCTCCTGAGGGTTGGGAGCCTGGGTTGGGCTGCACCCGCCCAGCCTCCTTCAGCTTTTTCCACACCCAGAATCACAAGATGCTTGTGAACGGTCTTTGACATGAGACACACAAAGACAGACATTTTAAAAAGATGCACAAAGAAACCACCCATGAGAAGAATGAAGAATCATTTGTTAAAAAAGGAGTATCCTGCCCCCCATTCAAGAGGGTATTGCAACTAGAAAAACTGAGAGGGACATGGAAATTAAAGCTACGATTTTCTGTAAATGGTGGAAGGTTTGGCAGGTAAAAGCCACAGAGATGACAAGTAGGACGGAAATGATGCAGACCATAAAGGACAAGACCAGGGGAGCTCACGCCACCAACAGAGGTTCTGTCAGGAGACAAAGGGGTGGGCGGGAGGCAGGAAATCAACAAAAAAATCATACAACAATACTCTAGACTGGAAGACAATTCAAGCGTGAAGGCAAAGAAGGGCATTAAGGCCTGAGAGCTTGTTTCCCACGGACCTGTCCTTGGACAGCTTTGGGAAAATGAGGGCGAAAACTGAGAAAGAAGTAAACTTCTAGACTCAGCCTAGAGATGGGGAGCAGCGGTTACCCAGTGATCAATGCACTAGGCTGAAAACTGGGTCCAAGAAGAGAAGGAAAGGGGGAGGAGAGGGAGGGGAGAGGAAGGGAGGGGCGCATCGGGGTCTCTGGGAGAGGAGAGAGATGTGGAACCGGCTGAAAAAAACAGTATGTGATAAGACACATTTGTAAAAAATATCAGAAAAAAAGCGATCAGAAACTCAATAGAATAAAGTGTGCAAGCCAGGATCTGAATATGAAACAAAAATGTGATCAAGTTGGAAGGGAGGAAGGGAGGCTAAGTCACTGTTAAAGGAGACACCATTTACCACCTCCCCCCAATCCAAACACCTGGAGGAAAACCGAGCAGGAGGTAGGACCCGGGTGTCAATATTCTCTGCTCAGCAGTGGGCTGTTTCTGACTGTGCCACATCGTAAATGGTGACGGCACAGGACAGCGGAACCACAAACTTCCACAACCTCACCTAGGATGGCGCCACAATTTTCAGATTATGTCCTGCTGAATCCTGCGATTTAGGATTTCTGTAAGTTTTGGTTATGATATATTATCTTCTCTGCATTTGAAAATGGCAGCAGAAGCCAATGCACACTCTAGTGACTGCATACAAAATTTGAACTTTTCAGAAACTACCCGTATATTGAATGATGTGGCCCATTTTGCTCCCTTTTGGGTCAAAGCTAAACTTAACATTTCCTTGCTGTGAATGTACTTATATTTGAATCTCCTGTAAATGATTCACCCCATGAGATTTCAATTTTTTCAACTCTGCAGGGGGGAGGCCTCAGGGTGAAAAAGTTCCTTCAAGCTTTTCCTAAGTGCTTAGGCACTTAGAGCCATTCAGTTGAAGAGACTCTCAAGATTACAAGAGGAACAGGTTAAAAACAAAACTGAAAACTGTTGCCATGAGCAACAGCTTACCTGTGTGACTCTGCCATTCTGAATGTTGTTCATCCAAACAGAACCCTAAGACACATGGGCTAGGAGCTCTACAACTTATAGGGAAACCTGAATCTCATATTCTAGGTAGAAGTTTCATGGTTCCTCCTCACAGCCAAGTTAATTTCATCAACAAATCATAGAGAAGTTGACATGTGTAACAGCTTTCTTTGTGTTAATGCCACTTTATCTGTTTGGAACCTAAGGGCTGGAGACAAGATGGGTTTGAAAAGGGGCCTCCTCGCTGCAAAACACTGAGTTTAAAAACAGCTCTCCAAGACAGGAAATGAAGTCCCTCTGAAAAATGCATGGCCGTGGCCATTCCAGGGCCTTGGCGGCTACACCATCAGCACCCAAGGGCGCCTGGCAGATGTCAGTGCAGGGATCAAGGCTCTCATGGTGCAGCCCACCGAGCAGCTGGCAAGTACTGGTGACACCAAGGCCAGGTGGGGCCACAGGGGTCCATTTCATTCCTCTCTCTGCTTTTGTATTTTAAGTTTTCCATTCAAATAGGTTAAAAGTGGCCACTCTACATTTTGTTTCCCTTGGCTGCTGGAAGGCTCCTTGCATCTGCACTATTCTTGAGGACACCACACTGAATCCAGCCTGAGTCCCTTCAGGATCTGCCTTCCTCAGGTGTGGGGTCACCTTCCATTCAGCCACGGAGGTCCAGAGCATGCTCTGGGGTGAAAGAGGCCTGAACCTCACCCCACTGCAGGGGATGAGGTGGGAAATTTAGCTCAGGTATTAGGGATGCAGCTCTGTGCCTGTGGGGACTGGGTGGGAGGAGCCCCTGGGTGAGTGAGGTGCTGCCCATGCAGGGCTGTGTGGAGCTCAGGCCCTAGGGGACCGCAAGCTGTGCTTCTGGACACAGTGGAAGCATAAGGGAGATCCATCCACAGGCACAGGTGGACAAGGTCTCCGTGACACTGTCCTATTTGCTTTGAGTGCTGACATCCTTGAAAGACAGAGAGAACAGAACAGATGAAAATGCTACCTCTCTAAAACAGAGGTGAGAAGGGAGGAAGGCATCTATCTCAGAAGACAGTGGATCTAAGATGTTAAGTTTCTCAAGAATGAAAAAGGCTGCAGAACACACACCAAGTAAGACACTGTTCAGATGCCATTGATGCAAAGTGTGTCCAGAGTCCAGAAGGAACAAGTCTACTTAGAAGGGAGGATTGCCCCGGGTCAGTTTTATATGATTGTGTCTGTACCTATGTGCCCGGCCGCAGACATGCTGATTTACTTTTATATTTTATTCCAAAACACTGAGGGTCTGAAACCAGCTGTGTAGCCTGTCATGGTCCATGACCAAGTCCACAATCTTGAGCAGAATCAAATTTTCTCGGTCATTTCTATGTGCCGCTGCTCAGCAGGCACATTCAGGATCTGTGAAAGGCTTCCAGGAAACCCACTCAGGAAAGGAAGAGAGCCTATGGCTTCCAGGAGCGGAGTGGGTGAATGGAAGGAAACATGGACATAGAAATCTGAGGATACAAAGCAACACACATAGGATGAACCAGTTAGAGATCCAGTGCTCAACACGAGGATGACAGGGAACACAGTTGTGCTGCATTTGGTAGATTAAAACACACTGAGTGAGTTTTAGTTACTGTCACAAAGGCAAAGTGCTGAGCCAGGTGAGATGATGTGTTAATTGACTACATTAGTGTAATGTTTTTGACTATGCACGCATGTCCCATAATAGCGTGTTTATACCTTAAAAACACACAACACTTATGACATTTGGGAAGAGACAGAGCTATGGAGATGGCAGGGAGCTAAGCGGTCACCAGGAGCAGGAGGAAAGAGGGATGACTTGGTGAAGCACAGAAGCTTTCAGGACCCAGTCTGTAGGGTGCCATCTTGGGGGACATGTGCCCCTGCCCATTTGTCTAATGTATTCAGTCAGCCAGGCATGGTGGCTCACGTGTGTCCACTCCAGCTCTGGGTGGCTGAGGCAGGAGGACTGCAAGCTTGAACCCAGCCTGGGCAACTTATTGAGACCCTGTCTCAAAATGAAAATGAAATGAAGGACTGGGGATGTGGCCCAGGGGGAGCTCCCTGGTTTAACCACCAGTACTAAGAAAAAGAAACAAACAAAAGAGCAAGAACAGGAAGCAGGTGTATAGAATGTACAACACCCAAAGTGAGCCCTGGGTAAAGCACGAACTCTGGATGAGGATACATGGGCCTAAGATTAGCACCGGTTAACAAGTGCACAGTTTGGTGGGAGGTGTTGATGGTGGGGGGAACAAAAGGGGGCTGCACTCTCCGCTCCACTGCACTGTGAGCCTAAAAGAGCTAAGGAAAGAAAGCATACTTTACAACTTTGTATTTTCTCATTTCTATGTTTCTATTTTTAATAGAGCATATTAAATACTCTCTAAATCCACAGATTGGCCCAGATTTCTCCATGATATTGTTTTAAGTGCTTATCTGTAGTTACAAACTGTATTTAGATCTAGCGAATATTTTTGTCTTTTTTACTTTCTTGTTAACCACCTAAAGTATGCACTTTTCAGTTTTTTAAAAACCAATTTATCCTGTATTGATCTGTATTACATTTTTCTTCCTTAACAAATTTCTAGCTTTATCTTTATTTCCTTCTCGGGGTGTG